GGAGGTGCCCAACGGTCAGATCTGTGCCTCTTCCGACATAACCGCCATCGATTCTATAGATCTACAAAATCACCATTACACCTAGCCTCGCCGCTCTCCGTCAAAACTCAAATACTAAACAGATCTAGAACAGATCTACGAGGGACGGGGGTTACGGAGGGGATGGCGGCAAGAATCAGAGAGGTCATCCGGTGGTGCCGGAAAGTTGGCGGCGGCGATGTTGGAGAGTTGCCGGTGGTGGGATTGGCGAAGAATTGCCGGTGGTGGGGTTGGCAATTAGAGATGGGTTACTGTAGATCTAAAGTTGCAGGGGAGGGGACAGGGGTAAAATGGGAAAGTCAAAGCAAATTTTATCACACATTAATATGCATGCCCGGTCAAACCGGGAAGTTCTTTTATGGACGGAGGGAGTATATATAATGTGTGTGTGTATATATATATATATATATATAATGTGTGTGTGTGTGTATGAGGGGGAGTATAGTTACAAAAAAAATTGACAACATTCATACAACACTCCAATTGGGGTACCTACTATGCTCCGTTCGTAAAATTGGTTGTTCCTACACCCCCCCAAACCCCAGCCCTACCTTAAAAACGTCAATTTGGCTGGCCAAATCGGCATTTTTAGGTTTGGGGCTAGGGGTTTAGCGAAGGGTATGAACAATCAATTTTACGAAGAGAGCATCGTAGTCCATAGCTACCCCAATTGGAGTGTTGTATGAATGTTGTCAAATTTTTTTGTTGTCAAATTTTTTTGTTATAAATATAAGCCTCCTCTAGTAAGACGAGGCCAAGCTTAGACCCTTGCCTTCGCTCCTCGCTTATGGGCCTCACATGCTTCTTCAAAGCCCATAGAACATAAGCACATGTTACGGGCTCTGCTCTAAAATATTTATCTACGGGCTCTGCTCTGCTCTAAAATATTTATCTACCTTTAATTAAATAAAAATTGCTTAGTATATTAATTACATAAAATAATATATTGAAAATATTTTACAAGCTAAATCTAATAAAATTTGTATCAATATCTAATATAAATTTTATTTTAGTAATGGTCAAAATTTAGCACATTTGACTATAAAAAGTCAAAACTTGACAAATGCTCTAGGACAGAGGTAGTGTGTGTCTATGTGTGCAATGACGGAAACGACAAAATGTGAGACAATCAAAAGCAAGGTGGCATTTTAGTAAACCTTGTGATCCCATCTCCGACTCCTTCATGATGATGATGATGATTATGCCCTTTTTATGCAGAAGACTATGATTGATGAGGACTTTTTGTTATTCCCCATGTTTTGAAATTTTGTTTTGAAGTTTTATATGGATATTTAAATTTTTGGATGTTATGGCAATAACTACTTATTTGGATGTTATGATTTTGATTTATGGATATATATAAAAATTTAAGTTATATATTTGTAAATTTAAATTTTACATTCACAAATTAGCTACTACTAGTCTACTATAGTATCTTACGACGCTCAAATCTACTAAATGTGTCCTTATTTAATATTCATGACTTAAAAAAAGATAACTATTAGTATTCTCCACCAAAAATGACATTTTGTTTATACCAATATAGGATTTTGCACGTTGTTTGAAACAAGAAAACTTTTTGGGAAGGAGGGAGTGGATATTAAGTCGGTTCAGTTTTCAACCGATGAATTCAAATCCTTGATTAAAAAAAACTTTCATGCCTTGAAATTGTAGTTGACCTATCTTTTTGAATATTAAACAAAAACAAAATATCAATAATGAATAGCAATGCTCTGATTACTTTCATTTAGGAACGTAAAACTCTTAAAAAGAATTGTAAGATTGCAATATACTCACCTTTGCCTGTTTGTAGAATATCTTTGGTTCCTTTCATTAGTTGTGACAAGTATTTCATCCTAGCTGCATCATTTGAAAAGAGGGATCTTCTAATAGAAGTAAGGCGAACCAGACACTCCAAAGCCTTCATAGTAAATTTAAGAGTGGTTAACTTTCAAATTTAATTAACACGACATCAAAATTTTATGGTGTTATTTGAGAAGCTCCTAGAAGGAAAAAAGCACATTTCCATAAGTCATTTGTATACTATAGTGTTTGTCAAAAAGTTAGGAAATTGCATATTTCTATTTTATACGGAGTACTTCTTTCAACAAGTGAACAAAAATATAAACAAATTTATCTCCTACAAAAAATAAATTATTTAAAAATACAACCATAATAATACATACGTAGTAAGTAATAAAATGATGATGTTGATGATGATAGAAATATAGTTAGGGAGGCAGAGGAAGCTATGGGCACGCTATTGGGGGGAGAAGAGCAACATGCCATACAAGATCCTCATAGAGTTTTGGAGATATGATGGTAGAGAAGGAATTGAGTGGTAAAGTTATTTCATGTAGTTTTTTAGACGGCTAAGATGCCTGAGAAATGGGGTTGTTTACGATGATTATGATTTATAATAGCAAGGGTGATATCCGAAATTGCAATTATTATAGGATAGTGAGTATGAAGGTTTGGGAATGGGTAGTCGATGCTTGAGAAGAGGCTAATAAAGAAGGTTGATATTCTCGATAGCCAAATTGGGTGATTCACTACTGTAGCCACCTACCTTTTGAAGAGGCTAATGGAGTATTACAAAGCTTGGAAAAACCTTAACATGGTGTTAATTAAATTCGAGAAGATGTATGAGAAGAAGCTTTTAGGGAGGTTTTATGGAGTGCTTGGAGTTTCTAGGAGTACTCGTAACCCAACATTGCCATTAGTGTTTATTTTATTGAACTGAGGGTGTTACCAAAACAATCTCTCTTCCTCTATAGGTAGGGGTAATGTTTGCACTCGCTCATCCTCCCCAACCCCACTTGTGGGACTTCAATGGGTTGTTGAAGATTTGCAATGATGAAGAAAAGAAAGGAGAGGTGTGTATAAACAACAACAACAACCTAGTTAAATCCCACAAGAATAGGGTCTGGGGAGGGTGTGTGTACGCAGACCTTACCCCTACTCGAAAGTAGAGAGGCTGTTTCCAAATAGACCCTAGGCTCAACGTTGAAAGTTGCATTGCTTGACTAACTGCTACTTCATTAATTAAAGAAGCGCAGACAGACAGTTTAGAGATCCATTTTGAATTATTCCATCACACCCCAAAGCCAAAAAATGGTGAAATTTTGGCTCCATCGGAGCTGATGGAAAAAGGAGAGGTGTGTATATAAACCATAATTTCCTAAAGTATTGATTACGGTGGTTAACCTTTTACTTGATTTTCCACATCATTATTGTGCAAACTTAATCAGCATGGATATCATAATTATAATTTTCATTTACTTCATGTAGTGTAAAACTAGAATGATGAGTCATCGTGTATGATAATAAAGTCCTTTGGGGAAATGAATTTGTGCAGTAAAGGGAATCAATAAAACAAGTCATAAAATCGGGGCTCACTAATATAACTTAGAAAAGTTCAAATCGCTCAATAAATCACAAAAGAACTATAGAGGCTAAATATAATGACTTGGGAAAGTTCATGAACCTAATAACAGGTTATTCTAAAGAAAAACAGATTCTCAATGTTTCAAAGGTGATTCAACCATAGAATTGAAGCAACAAAACAAAAAAAAGAGTGAAAGGACTAGCACATAATCATGTCTAAGTTTAGGTAGAGATTGACAAAATTGATGAGTGGTCGAAAGAAAACTAACGAACAACCATGGAGTGGAAAAATAAAAGAATAATAGACTACATGAAAAGAAATGGATTATTTAAATTTCATGCATTTAGAATAATTGTTAATAACATAGTTTTGGTACCTCAATCAAATATGCCACATGACTACTACTAACTGAATTTTTTAAAGATATACTCCCTATGCCAGTCTGTTCCAAAATAACATAGTTTTGGTACCTCAATTTCAATGTTTGTATCAAATTGTTTTTAAAGAGTAGGAAAATAAAGGGTAAACTATTAAAACCAATGTTCTAAATGGATTATTGCATATATGTGGCGTTTGTTTCAAGTCGAATTGCCTAACAAGCTCCATGGCGTAGGAGGCGTAATTGCGTAAGCCTCATTTTTTGAAGTATCAAAGTGTACATAAAAGATCATAAAAAGTATATTATCAAAGTAAAATGTCTCAAATGCAACAATGATTAGCATGACATAATACAAAATATTGGGCAAAGACCATAAACTTGAATTGACCAAAAAAATCATTACAAAATTGCACAACACATATTTGCAAGTCAATTCCTGTCACTGAGTTTTGGATGTTGAGTCTACACCATAGTGTCATGTTGGGTTCGACATAAAAGACCCCATGCACACAACAGAGGAAAAAATAGAAAATTACTAAGAAAAATTTTTAGGAGAAAAGTAAAATAACAAATTAGGAAAAAATCCACATACCAGAAATAACAAAACACAACACCAAGCTAGCTATGAACAAGGCCACATAAGTCGCAGTAGAAGAACAAAAATACGAAGTCCACAAAATGCAGCTTATAAGCAAAAAACTGGGTGAGAGAAAAGACACAAGAAAAGTTACAATGCGCAGCTCATAGGCGTTGGCCTTTGCACAGAAAATAAATACCTGGATTGCTGTTGGATGAAGATAACAAGCAAAGGGTGAAGACTGAAGATGGAACAGCATTGGAATCGCATTACTAGAATAATAGCACTAGGGGTACAAATGCTAATCAGGTACCATGTACTTTTAAATTTTGTTAATTGAAAGGACTAATTTAACCTTAAACTTAGATTTTTTTTGGGGGGGGGGGGGGAGGGGGGATTGTGTATGCCCCATATGCTATCTACAATTGCTGAGAAAACTGCATAGCGGGTGGCTAGATCACCGTGGGGCGGTCCTTTCCCCAAAAAGACCTGAGGAGCGCCATGAGGCAGGATTCCGCCACGCCATTTCAAACAGATTAAAACTAGGAAATTAGTGGTTTTCAAATAGGAAAAGTGGATATTGCTACCAAAAAGAAAGTATAACAAATAGAGTGCAGCATGGGGAGTGGAATTTAGTAAAGAAGCAAACAAATGAACAAGGGAGAAACCAAAGCCTCTTTCCGGAGCATCATCAAGTCTAAACCTATGAAGCAACCACCCTTAGTGCAAGACCCGCTTGAAAAAATATCAGAAATACATAAGTTTTCACCTCCTTTGACAGGTTCGATTCATTGATTCCGTAGTACTCAAAGAATATTTGTACGGTTGAGGGGTCCTCGATGACTTGTTTCCATGCAAGCGGCAACTGACAGCATTTAACATGGTACAGTTTAGAGCAACTTCAAATGTACATAAAGGAGCTGTTACACCATTGAAAGATACTAAATAGTACCGGAATATTGCTAAAATCTTCTGAACTTTCATCAACTGTAGTTCCCATAAAATCAAAACATAAACACCTGAGGGAAAGTGAAATGGCCAGTCCTTGTAACTTGCCACCAGCTGCATAAAGCAACACAAATGGAGTATAATTAAAACAAATGGAAACATAGATAAAATGTAAACAAGAACTCAAAAAAAACAGGCATTGGAATAATAACTGGGGAATCTACAGTGTACCATCATTCTTCAGTTGACACAATGAAGTAAGGGATATTTGAAATATTTGAAGAAGTGACTGGTCTCTGAAGGAGCAAGCCACCCTTCGATGTTGTGTTGACGGCAACCCAGGACTTGGCTGAATAATTTGTAGAAATATTTAGCAATGCACCAGTGGAAAAAATATTAGGCTTTGTGTTGCTTGATAAAAAATAATAAACAAGAAAATTCGAAAACTGTTACAGAGTATAAGAGACCTATTTTAAAAATGTGAAAAAGATAAAAATAAGAATGATGTCAACTCACCAAAACTCGCAAAAGATATAATTTGATAGAAAGGTTTTAATAGGACTGAGCTTTTAATAGGAAAGGTAATGAATTTAACTACGGAAAATTTATTAATTCAAGGAGAACATACTACCAAACAGAAAATATAAGAAGAAATTCCATTTGTCTCAAAATGTAAAGTGTATGACCTCGGGCGCTACCGACTCTTCTAAAACCAATTGGTGTTAGAAGAAGCGCAGACCCTAGCCTTGTAGTGCATTTAGCACCCACAAGCGCCCATAACATTTGATTGTGACTTGGCCCACAAAGCCTCCGCCACGGGACATTTGATGCACACATGGCCAACATAAAATACATGTGGGTTTGACACTTTTTTAGAAGATAAAATGTGTTCTTTGCAAGTTTGATCTTTGAAAGTAAAAAAGTGAATGGGTTCCACTAAATAAAAAGTTAGAAGGATATCTGAAATGACAAGGTAGAAAAAGTGAAAAGTGCCTAGAGTCTACAACCGCAACAACAAACCTATTATAACCCACAAAAAGTAGAGTGGGGTGATTAGGGTCTCGGAAGTAGAGAGACTGTTTCTAAGAGACCCTCGGTTCAAACAATTAAGAGCTAGACAAAGTACACAGCACAAACAAAAGTACAGCCACAAACAAGAAGCACAAATCATAGTTTGTAAGGCGTCGCCTAGGCGATAAGGCGCTGTCACTGGTACGCCTTGTTTGCTCGCCTCGCCTAGAAAGCCTTAGGGCGACCAGGCGCTCGCCTAGGCGTCGCCTTTCCTTGCCTTACCTCGCCTTGATGCCTTGGGCCCATTTAAAATTTTGAAAAAACCCATTTTTTTAGTGCAGCCCATTTTCTTTTAGTGTAGCCTAATAGACTTAAACTTATCTTCTCTCTCTCGGACTTCTTTGTCTCAATCAAGCTTCCTTAAAATGTATATATATATATATACACACACACACAGATATATATACACACACACATATATATACATACATACATATATATAAACATATATATACATATACATATACATACATACATACATGCATATATATATATATATATATTTGTCGCCTAGTCGTCGCCTAGGCGTGCGCTTGGTCGCCTAGGCGATATGAAGGTACATTGGCGCCTCGCCTTGGCGCCTTACAAACTATGGCACACATACCAACACTTACAACTAGACCTAAAGCAAGCACACATGCACAAGATATAAACTAAGGCAAAAATGCACAAGCACACACTACAAACTAAGACCCAAAGGTATACCTAACTACCCGAATCCTACATCTCAAGATATTCATATCTGAGGTCATACCTTTGGTAAGATCCTAAAGTCACAAGTCATGATTAATCACAAATTCCCAACTCTAAGTCCACCTCAAACCCTTCTCATGCCCACTAATGCAAGCTTCTTGCATCTCCTCACTAGGACCTCTGCACTTTGCATTATTACCATAGTTATCAAGGTGCCGCCTAGGCATCCTAGCAGTCGGCTCCTCTCGCCATGGTGTATCGCCTCGCCTTATTTTGAATCTCTTGCATAAGCGTCACCAAGCTTCGCATAGCCTAGCCTTGCCTCACTTTGGTCTCTGCTTTTAAGAATTCTTTATTCCTTTTAGTCAGTGACTTTTTTCATACTCAAAATTTACTTTGTACTAAGAAATCACATATTGTGTTTTAATCATATTTCGTATTTCATATTTTTCTTTTTTTTCATATTATGGTGAGTTTATATTTTTTTTAAGTATGTGTAATTGAAATTTTGATTAGGTTTATAGAGCATGCATGTTTAAATTTAAATTAGCATTGCTTAGTGTTACTAATGTATACCAATTCAAATTTCTTATGTGTTGCAACCTAGACCTGGCAATTGGATCTATTATTGTTTGGATTTTTTCGATTTGGATATCTATCGTATATGTGTTATAATTGGTTCGGTATAGATTTAATTCAGTTTTGTACATTTTCATGTTTTGGTTTGGTTCCAAATTAGTTCAAATTCAATTTAGATATAAATCTATAGTACTAAAACATATATCATTTCCTAATGTAGTACTTAAACTTTTTTATTCCCTAAATAGTACTTGAATAATGTCTAGTGGCAGAAACAATGTCCGGTGATGGTGGATATTTAGTTTGAACAATGTCCAGTGGCGCTGGACATTTACTTAAACAATGACCAATGGACATTGAATAGTGGTACTACATTGAGAAATAAAAAGATATGGTACTACATTGAGAAAGTCACTATGTTTTAATACTATTAAAGGTAAATTCGCCATAAATCAGTTGAGATAGATCTCGGTTTGGGAAATATTTTGGTTCTGATATATTTCAATTCGGTTGAGAAATATATTATTTTTATATTAAAATTTTAAATTCTATGTTTCTTTTTTTATCATACCGAATTTATCAATCTATCATCAATTCATTATTCACATTATTTTACCTTTTTCCCAACTATTTTGTTAAGTTTTTTTTCACTTTTTCCTGCAATTTTAGTTTGTTTTGCCCAATTTTTTTAAAAAAATTTTTTACTCCCTATTTCCTTTCTCAAATTCCTCCTTCTCTAGGTTTTCTATCCTGCCAAATCTCAATCATATCCCAAAATGAAGGTCAAAGTGTGAAACAGTTTTATAACAAAAAGTCCAGTTGTAAAAAAAAAATTAGGACAGGAGTATGCTTTTGTGAATATATAACAAATTAACAAACCTACTCAAGTGGTAAAATAGAATAAAATTAATTGAAATTACATGAATGTGGTTATGCTTTTGTGCACATAATTATAACATGTTAATTGAAAAGGCATAATCATTTTGGGGTTTTACCGGTTTCAGGTATAATGGATTACGGGTACCATCGGCTTCGGGTATTAAAAGTTTTGGATATTATCGATTTTGGGTCAAATCAATTCAGTTCTAATCGGTTTTAAATCTAAATCGGGTATGGACATATATAGTTTTATTCTGGTTCGGATCGGATCATTCCGGTCATTCAGGTAATTGATTCTGATTCTGTTTTATCAGGCCTACCGTCGCCTAGTCCTTTAGGCGTCATGGCATTACACTGGCACCGCACCTTGCCTTGGCAACGTAATAAATACACTTATTACGTGCCCAACGTACCTCAGTGCTAGCTTCTCACAACTTATCCTCAACCGTTTACAACACACTTATTCGAATAACCTCCTTTGGATTTTATCCAACCTCATATCACCACGCATCCACCTCAGCATCCTCATCTCTCCCACTTGAAACTAACAAACATGAGTTTTCTTCACTGTTCAACACTTTGCTTCGTATAGTGCTCCATATAGCATGGCAGATCTGACCACCCATTCAACTTTTCTTTCATGTTCGTCAATATCTTCTCATCGCAAGCAACACCTAAAGCTCACACTCACTTTGCCCAAGTGGCTCCAATACAATGGACAATATGTCCATCTATCTCCTCATCTGCTTGAGTAACCGAACTAAGGTACCAAAACTTGTCTCTTTTAAACACTTGACGTGAATCAAACATTAATACTAACTCAGCCGCCAGACCACTGAAGCAAGTTTCCATGTATTCAATTTTGGTCCTACTCAATCTGAAACCTAAGGATTTTAAGGACTAATGTCACACTTCCAACTTATCATAGTCGTTTAGGTCTCCCAACAATGAGTACAATCATCAACACATAGCATGCACAAAGCCCCAGGAGATGTTGCATAATATCTAGGACCAATGCAAACATGATATGATTAAGGACAGGAACCTCATCTTTATTGGAAGTCACCCCAACAACCTTCACCATGGTCCTCACCCCAACATACATGTCTTTGACCACACAAACGTAAGCAACTAGTACCCCTCCAATACTCTAGCCACCTCTGCAAGATCTCCTTTGGAACCCTATAGTATGCCTTCTCGAAGTCAACAAATACCATGTGTAGGTCCCTCTTCTTGACCCTAAATTCCTCTATTCTTAACCGTCCAGGCATGAAACCAAATTTATTCTCAAAAATGCACACCTCATTCTTGAACCTAGACTCCATGATATATTCCTGAACCTTCATGGTTTGATTATGTAATTTGATGTCTCTATACGTATCGCAACTCTCGATATCACCTTTTTTGTACAATGGGATCACCGCACTCTCCCTCCACTCACTAGGTATTTTGTTGCCCTAAAAATAGCATTGAAAAACTTCTTGACCCAAACATGCTCAGTATTGTCCACAATCTTCTAGAACTCCACAGAGATGTCATTCAACCTCATGACTCTCCTCCTCTCATCTTGTGAATCGCCTCGCCACCTCTTTTTTACTAATGTGTTGCTATGTAGAAGCTAAAATGAAAGAAGCGCTACGTAGTCACATAGTGAAACTCAAGGAGAGGCATAAGGTGGCTTAGTTGAGACAAAGGTACGTAATAGCTCTAAAGATTCGTTAAAGATAGTTCAACTCATTCTATCATAAGTTAAATAGTCACTTAGTTTCACATAGTAAATGAATCCTTATTTCCTATAACTAAGATAGACATATATTCGTTCGACTCCTTAGAGACTAGTGGATTTCACTCACATAATGAATACATTAGGTAAGATAAAAAATAACCAATTTCTTAAGTCAGACAATGAAGTACACAGTTAGGATGTGAGGTAGGGCGTGTTTAAGAAATGGAGTTAGTGCTCCAGCTCACCTAGTACATTGCTCTTATCCCCTCTCAAAATGACCATTACTCTGGGATAGACTAGAAAAAAAGTATGTCTTGTAAATAGGGTCAGCAAGAGTAGAACAAAATGGTTTATAACTTCCCAAATTAACGTAGCAATATTTGAGGATCAATTTAGATAATATGTATGTCTTCAATGTATATGTTGTCCTGCCAGCATTCCAAAGAATGTGTTGTATTCTTTGCAATTCATACGGGCTCATGGTATGAGAATATGAGATTACAAGAGTATATAGCTTGATATAGAAAGCTATTGAATATATGGCAAACTAAGTTCTTATACAATATACACATAGGTATTTATTATGCGGCATCAATGTCAGTTTCATGAAGTTCGCAACCAAGAAAGTAGAGAGGGGTAAGAAAAAGCCATTCTAAAGCCAAACTAAGCTCCACTAAATATAACAACCCAATTCACTCCCACATATGGCCCTATGACCCTGAGGGTGTGTGCATAGATATTAATGGTGTTCACCATTTACACATATGGCCCTGTGACCCTGAGGGCTGAGGCATGCAAATGACACCCTAAAGGACTAAGGCAAGGCATTTTACAAGTGGTGTGCCATGGTGGTAACCATTCATGCCTGGATTTGTGGCAAGAAGTGCACGCCATCTTTGTTATGTATTTGGTCAATATTTTTTAAAAGATTGGGCTGACCTCGACTTGATTAAGCACTTTTAAACACATCGCCTCTCTTCTGTGCTTCATTTTGCTCTGAAAACCTATGCCATCCACCGATTCTGTTCGCTCCAGCACACTTCTTCTCTATCACAACTCCTTGTTATCGTCTTTGCCTCGTGCAATGCAACCCTCTTTTCTCGCACAGTCGCAATCTACTTTACACACTCACTGCTGCGAATAAATCTTTGAATTTATTGTATGTTATTCTTTTGTATTTATTTATTTTTATTATGTTTTCTTTATTCCAAATTACAACTCAGTTAGATCCCACAAGAGTAGAGTCTATTCTAAATTCATGATTATTATTATTGATTCAAATTATTGATTAATATTATTATGTTTTTTTCATTTTTAAAAATGATTAGTATGATTTTGTTCACTTTATTTTAGAGAGAAAAATATTTTAGTTTTCTAATTTTTTTTATTATCTTATTCATTATGTGTATTATAATACGTAACATTCACTATCTCATTCACTATATGTGTGTGTTTGTGTGTGTTTATGTGTATATGTGGGCCATTTGACCGTCCACCCATTACCTTGTCTATCGCCATCCATAACAATGAGTGTGTGTGCAGACCTTACCTCTACTTAAGAGAGTACAATCTGGAGAGGACCTCTACTCGAAAGTAGAGAAGTTGTTTCAAGGAGACCCTAACTTGAGTAACACTGCCTAACACATTTAGCAAGTTGAGCACCAAAAGCACTGTACCCTCCCCCATGTCCCACACCCGAGGCTGAGCCCACACTCCCCATACCTTCCCTAAACATCCAAAATATTTCCTTTTCAAAATAAAGTTTTTCCTACTCTTATTTTAGCCATGGCCGAAAATAAGAGTGTTTTGTTTGTTGTTATTTTCCTTCTTTTAAGTCTTTTAATAAACCAGTAAAACCCTCTCTTTCTTCCTTTCATTCCCTGCCCAAATAAACCTCACAATCCCAACACAAACACCCACAAAGAGCCAAAACCATGACCCACCTCCAGCCCCTACTTCCTGCCCATGTTTTCCCTCACA